GTCCCATCATTTGCAGTTATTTGCATCCGTAGCCTGCTTTCATTAAAGTCTTGCAAAACAGCCAACAGGACAAGGATGAAGGTCAGGACATCTCTACCTTTTGTAACTTAAAGCCCAAAGTATTTCAAGAAATCAATCAGGAAAAAAGAACATACTGTAATAGAAAAAAGGCAGTGTTGCTACTGTCAGCTATAATTACATAAATACATATTCAGATTACCCTCAACCATCACTTCCTGCCATTATGCATCCAAATGTATTGCATTTATGGTCATGTTTCCTTACTTTGTGCTTTGGAGCTTAAACGGATGTGTCCTTGAACACGTTTTTATTTAAAATGTTGCGTCACTGCATCCGAGGGAACGTTAGCTAGCTTACATTGGTAAAGAATATTGCCAGATTTGATCAAATGTGTAACTGAGGCTTCAACATTTTTGGATTTTAAGTAAAACATGACTCACTGACACACCTAAAACGTACCCAAATCAGATTTTGTTCTTGTTTTGTTTTGGCTAACCAACGTCGTTATCTTCGTATCAAAGCTTTGGTCTGATCATTTCTGTTGTAGCTTACTTTTACAAAATACAGTAGGATCCCATTTCCATATTTTGCCACCTGGAAACTAATTGAAATGAGGGAGCGCAAACCATTTGGTTTGGTTTTCATCAAATTATCGTACATTATGGCAGTTTTAGCTATTGATCGTACTTTGAAAAATGTTGCAAAAATATTAATATGTACTTTAATTTGATATATATATGTGACTTCTTGATCACATTTATACATGCTAAATAACTGGCTTTATAAATGAACCCAAAACCTTTTATTTGTATTAGTTTTATTGAATGAATCCACAGGAAAGTACCCTCACAGACCACAAGTTGGCGCTCTGGCGGACCCCTAGTTGAAAGCTTTACCTACAGGCAGGACAGCCATTGTTGGTAAGCTAAAAAAACAACTGTGAACAACTGTTCTCCAGATTAACACGACAGATGCTACACATTTTTATTGTGTGGCACACAACACATGGGTTTGTATTTGTGTGTCACAGATGCGATAAAAGGGAGATAATAGGAAAGAGAGTAAGGGGGAGCCGCACATTCAAAGGCTCTGCTGGCATGTGTTTCCAAACTCTGCAAATAGTCTCTTCCCTTCCTAGCTAGCGATACAGTCTGGCATCATGTCAAAACATTTGCTTTTAATGCAATACAGCTGGGACTGTTGAATTTTTATTTCAAATCTGTGCCTCTTTCTTCTTAATTTTGGAGCAGCGGCGGCACAGGTGGTCTGAGCCAAATATCATTTATTTAATGTGAGTTAAAGCATTAAGACATATTTTTGAACATCAAACAGACTACCAGAACAAAGACGGAGTTAAAGAAATCCATCTACTAATTGTACTATTATCATGTTTCTCTGAGAGCACCAAATAACTAAATGGCTGCAGTATAAATCCATCACACAGTAACAGAAGAATTCCCTTGTTTCTATTATTTAAGAGTTATTAAAGAGTTACACTTTGATGATTCAAATCTTGAATCATTAATTTTTCCTCACAGCAGTTGGTCTTTTTGTGATTTATGGTTGGGATAAACAAGAACACCAAAGGACAAGTGCATGCAGTGGTAGAATTTCCGAAAATACAAAGCACCTACTTAGCATTGGGACACGGCCATTTCATTTATCATGCCAGGAGGACATCTACTCGTGTCACACCAAAGACAAATGTGAAATCAATCTGAGCTATGAATTCAAAACAACAGGGAGAAAATGGCCCAGGTACTGAGAAGTTGAAATGTTTGATGGCATTGACACGGGGCGAGTGAAGGGCACCAGCAGCGAAACCACTATGCAAATTCCACGCCACTTTGTTTGACAAGCAACAACACTGCTTTGTGTATATGCAAAGGCTGGCAAGACAGTGAGCACACAGCCGCTGTCAGAGCAGAGTCATGCTAGAGTGGTGACACCCGATGGATGACCCCTGGCTGCGATGAGGCTACAGGGCCAGACTTCACACTTCATTCAGACACACGCACACACACACAAACACAGTGGGAAGTGTATCTCATGTAGCACACGTCGCACCCCAGGGGTCAAATACGGCAAGACACTAAGATCGCCCTCTGCTCCACTGAAAACGTGGTGTCAGACGTTGAATAATTAGATTTCATCATCCCCGCTGAGTTGAAAAGTTCTAAGCACTTAGATAGAACACAGCAAACCTCATAAAGTATTACTCATTTAGTCTTCATGCAGGTTTTCCCTATGCTGATCTAACCACATCTGACAACGACATAACACATCTCCTCATGTATCCTGCAAAAAAAAAAGGCTAAAGTGACTGGAGGCTTTTGGTGTAATTTAGATTCAATACTTTATGATATCTAAAACACGTGCTAGCTGTTTGAGTTAAAAATGGTCATTAAAAGCAAGCATTTCATATATTATGGAAGAACAGAAGACAAGTCACCATGGGACATCATCATAAACCCTTTAACCATCACTGCAGCCAACTCTATGGGACAATTCTGACAGATCAATTAGGCAAGGACCTCCTGTGAACAAGTAGTTTGCAGCAAAGTAAAACATCTTTCAGCACTGCTTTGTTGGATATGTGTGGCAAGGTCAGTTTTAAATACAACTTACATAAGTTTGAAGGCTTGACTGACACTATAACACCACATTGAACAGTTTACTGTGAATACTACGAGAAAGGATCAGTATTCGCAAGTATTTTATGTTTCACTATTGTGAGATAAAATCGTGAACTGTATACCAGAAGAGGACTTGGTCAATCTAACGTCGCCAATTGGTTTGTGGACCATGTTTGAAGCCTTGAGTTTGGGATTTTGGCCATACTACCATCCTGGTTTTTTTAAGTCACCATCTTGGATGATTGGAGTCGCTAACTTGATTTTTTTGGAACCAAGTACAACAGAATGCTTAGGGTTAGGGTTCAACCCAGTCTCACGGCATTTTGTGTTATAGTCACAAAATGTAATCTATTGATTCGTGTTCACCAACACAATTTTCCCATTTTCTTCGTGTCACACAGAATGATTTTAAAAGCAATGTATTTCTATTGGTAGTATGTTTCGTGCCTGCACCAAATAATAACAAATTAGAAGGAAAAAAAGATCTAAAAAATACAGATTTCAGTATTCTGAGGCTCTGAGCCCCATTTATTTTCCTCGCGGACGGCAAAAAAAGTCCGACATTATACAATTTTAAATAATCGTGGCTTCATATTGAGTAAGAAAATGTTTTTATGAACCACACAGCTTCTGGTCTTCCAAGACCCGACCAGACAAAAAGACGTGGTGCAGGCACGAAACATACTACCAATAGAAATACATTGCTTTTCTGTGTGACACGAAAAAAATGGGAAAATCATGTTGGTGAACACGAATCAATAGATTACATTTCGTGACTAAAACACAAAATGCCGTGAGACTGGGTTGAAGGGTTAGACAGCTAACAACACACAGTGAAAGTATTGTAGTTCTAGGACTCATACCCAGGTAGCCAGTACCTAAAGCATAACCTGGTTAACCGTCTTATCTTTTCATAATAATGATAATATATTAAAGTCAACATAATTCTGTATTGCAGACAAATCCAAACTAATGACCAAGCCCATAACCTCATTTGGAAAATGTTTACCGAGGTAATAATTCAATCGAGAAATAGGGTCATTTTCTCATAGACTTCAATTAAATTAAAAAAGATGGCACAAACAAACAGATTATACGCATATAGGTACAGAAAGATTAAGATCGCTTTCCCTTTTAACTTCTCACATTTGTATTTTTGTATTCAAGCAACCAGTGGAGTTGCACCCTGCTCCAGATTTAAGAGAACGAAGATTTGAGGCACTTTTCAAAACAGAAGTTGCCCATTGGAAATCAACAGAAATGCATTTATAAAGTAATAAAGTAATGTGGGCTTATCTTAATGGTATTCAATTGTTTAGTGCAGATAATTGCAAGGTAATCCTGTAAAAAAAGATGCAATCTTCTGCTATGCCTGTAGACATTTTGGTTCAAATACATCTAACTCAGATGCCTTCACCACAATTGTACCAGAGTACCAAACGCTGTCTCCTGGTACTCATCTGAGTAACTCACTAAAAACGAAATACTATATGACAGTAAAACAAGAATAGAGTTTAAAAGGGGAGTGATTTGTAAAAAGAAATTCCATAAAGAAATAGAAAATCTGTTTACAGTTCTGTTTCATATGGATGTTGAGAGATGTATCCATACATCTCTGAATTTTGCTCTCAAAGTGCACCAGATTGATGCTTTTAACTTCAATATTTAAAAAAAAGATCTTGTGTTGGATCCACTACCGACTTATAAAAATAGCACTTTACCCCTGCACCCCCTCTAATCTCAGATGCACCCTGAGTCATTTTGTTTAAGTACAATGAGCCTTTCTAAAATATACAGTAAAGAGACAAACCCACCAGCATTATAGAATATATTATATGACTTTGAGCCAAATTCTTGTTTTTGGGCTGTATAAATAAATTGACTTGAAACAGTTGCTGATTTAGAGTACTGGCACCTTTTTTATTCCAATTCAAGCACTGCTTGTGGTAGTGAACAAAATGTAAACTAGAAAAGAAGGACATTTTCCCTCCATAATGTACAGTATGTTATATTACCTACTGAAAAGACAAATTGAATGAAGGTAGCAGTGAAAATGCGATTGCTTCGTTCATATCATACTTGACTCTCGTCCAATTTTGCAACCAGCTGGGGGAAACATAAAACCGGTGATGACTTAATCTGAACGTTACATATTCAAATGGGAACAAGACGGTACATCTGGAAGGAGCAAGTGTTGTCTAGCAAAAGATGTGTCTGTATTATTGCAGACGAACACGGCCACCAGGGATCCCTACTTGGCTAAAAGTAATGAGAACACACGAGGAGAAGCCAAAGCCTCACAGTGGGGTAGAAGCAGAACAAAATGAGTACATGTTGTGTTACCTGTTACTTTCTCGGAGTGGTTCGCTGCCCTTCCGCCATGAGATCACACCCCAAGGAGACATCTTTGGTTTGCACTCGATGAGCACGTCTCCTCCAACCTTCACCAGTGTCTGGCTCTTCAGTTGGTTGTGAGAGAAATCTGGGGCAACAGCTGAGACAAGAGCGGCAAATTAAAACCTCACTTTTTTTCATCCTTCATATTATCTCTGACGATTTATCGAATATATAATTTAATTCTGTTCTTTTTTTTCTCACCATTTTGGATAATGAGTTCATAAATACATTTCTTTATTGCCGTGGTAAATTGAAGACACAAGATTACATTATTCACTATCTGAATAATTGGTAATCAAAAAGCTAATAGCAAAGCCTATAATTAATGATGTGCGGTTGAAGAGATTATAACTCTATAATTATTCTCAGTAAGGACCGAAATGTCTTGTTCTTTAGCTCATCAATAAATAATCTTTACAAAATACTTGGTCACGGTTTAGATTAAAATCAGTCTCCTGGGTTAGAGTTTAGGAACAGATCAGGGAAAATCTCTACAAAATTAGGTGGGGGTGGATGGATGAGTCAAACAAACCGAGGACTTTCACCCAGGAGACAACCACTAGTCATCTTTAAGTTATCATTATGATGATGTTTTGGCTATTTTGTTAGGGTTAGGGTTACCCCTAACCCTAACCCTAATTAGGGTTAGGGGTAACCCTAACCCTAGGTCATGATCTTTTCCTGAACCTAACCAAGTACTTTTGATGCCTAAACCTAATTATAAACGACTGTTTCACACGTTACCATATTTACATGACATTAAATTATATTAAAAGGAAAGTACAGGTATATTCGCTTTAAGTGCTGGTGCATTAGTTTCAATTGGGCTGAACTCAAGTGCTCTTTTATTTATTTTTTTCAACGGGCAAGTTAGGGCAACAGGTGGGTTCTGAGTTTGCGACAAAACATATATATAGACTTTCTGCTGACCAAAATTCAATGGGGAGCTCGTTCAAAGATTTTGGAGTCAGGTTTGAGAACAGGCATCATAAACTCAGTCCAATTTGCTGTGATGGATGCAGAGCGAGGTATATATAAGGATATATAAGCATTTGATTGTTATATTTAGGCTTGAGGACATTCTGATCTTCTGCCACCAGTAGGTGCAGTTATTTAGGTGATCTTGAATGGTTGTTACGGTATAAGAGGGAAGTACTGAGCAACCTATGTGGTCTTATGGGTTAAGGACTTGCTTCTTCCTGGGTTTAAACAATTGAAAAATAATAAAATCCACCTTTCAATATCTTTGCAACTTTTCAAAACTTAAGTAACTAGACGTGTTGGAAGATGAATAGTGACTAAGAACTGCGGGGAGTACAGAGTGACAGTCCTGACAGGGCAGATGGTGGACGGAGCAGCGCTGGAAATACATCACTGTCAGCAGGACGCATTCATCCTATAATTAATGCTTTTCAATTAGCGGCCAATAACAGAGAGGCCGTAGATCATCCGGAAGGTATTGAGCAGAAGACGAAGCAAACTTGAGAACAATATGGACAAACAAATGCAAATCAACACATGTCTTTGCAAATGGACACTGTTGGGAAAATACTGAATGTCCTCTTCCAATATCAGAGTACACATGATAACAAAGGTATCCCAACTGTAGCTGTGTACATGACAGGATGCATGATTACCTAGAAGAGCATCAGGACTGTTTTAGGCATATGATAGCTATGTGATTAACATGACGATTCAGCCTCTATGGAGAGAGACATATGACAAGCATGATCATTTCTGACGTGGAGCTAATCTGAACTAAACATTGAATACTGCTTTATATTCCTCCATCTTGTGACTGTGTAACTCCCTCTCTTGTATATCAGCATGTGAAGGACACTGTTCAGGAACTAGTTGATGCTCTGCATGTGATGACTACTTCCATTCTTGCGAGGGTAATAAATACATGGATCCTGATATTGAAGTTCAAGCCGGTGATGAGTGATATTTTTCTAACAGACATACACACAACCAACTAATGCCTTACCTATAATTCGGAGCTCTGCATTGGAGTACACCTCGCCGTGTTTGTTCCCGGCCACACACTGGTACATCCCTGTGTCAGACAGGGTCAGGCGGCTGATGGTCAATGCTCCGTTGGCCACCTGTATGCGCTCCTATGGACACAGAGACACACGTGCCTTTAATATGCTTTATTCCCAGCGTTCATCTATATAAAAACAGCCATCCAGCGGGCCAGAGAAATATGGTCTGGAAGTGACGGACGTGGCAATAAATCTAGGTTTTCATCACTAATGGAGGGAAAGGCTTGGGTGGATGGAGGCAGGCTAGCAGAAAATGACCCTAATCAATCTGCATGTTTATGAGAGTGAAATAAAACCATGCCCTATTTATATCTCCGACTGCACCACAGGGGCTGTTTCCCCTTCAGCAGGAGGAGGGGATAACTGGGGAAGGAATATCGTAACATCTGAGGTATAATGCATTGTGAAAATTGCTTTTCTGATAGGTATGCCCCATACATACTAAGCGATGTGTACACGGTCAAGCTGCACCTCCTCTTCATCTGTTTGGAGCTTTTTTTCGCCCGCCTGTGGGATAAATGTAGCTCGTCACTGAGCCATCAAATTAAGATCTATTTAAGGATGGCTGGGCCTGATGAACTGGTTGGATCGCTGCATCTGTTGGACATATAATCCTCAATATAAGTTTATCTCTTCTCACTCAACTCCTCCACTACAGCATTAAGTCCTTGAGCAGTTTTCATACATCTCTATGCAGGCGTGTCAGGTTCTGCCTCCTCGTGCCCTTCATCTCGTCTCTTTTCCTCGGGCACACCCATAATGTCATTACAACCCCCTTTTCCATAGGCTTGAACTCTAGTCACGGGGGATTAAGGTACTGTCACATGAAAAGAAAGACCGTCCTCACGGAAAGATCACAAACTAATCCTGTGTTTGAGCAGGTTGTGCCTACATTTCCATAACGCTCGGGATGTGCAGGGGCGAATATCCCTGCTGGCAAGGGAGAGGCAAATGGTGGCGTACATCAGTCTGTGCATGGAAAGCACTCCCGTTTACGGCTGCTATTAATTAAGCATGACGTTCCTCTCAAATCAGCAGTTTTTCATGCCGGGGACCTGGGGGGACCATCTGCACGCCTTATGCTGAAGGAGAATGATTGGCAATGTCATTTGCCAACAACGCTGGGTTGATTTTGTTTTATATAAAGCTGCAAAAAGGATGTGAAAGATTGTCAGGATGAAGGAACGACTTTTACTGTACGGTACAGAAAAGGCAGGGTCTTGCTTTTGATTGCTGGCAACAGTTATTCTCCTACTAATTACTGGAAGCCTTTGTGCGAATAATTTCACAGCTGTACATTTTAAATTAAAAGCAACATTTGTATAAACTCAAAACAAGACACCTCCACTAATGAGGATCTAAGGAAATGTTTGTTTTAAAAAAAAAAGTGACAAATGAGTCACGTGAATTTGATTTTGACCTGCCAAGTTTTATGTTCCTAAGATTATTTGTGCTCACTGTGAACTAAATCAGCGATTGACAGATGTTTGATGACTCTGCTGAACATGCCTGCCTGTGTAAGAAAGAACTGCAGGAAGATGACCTCAGCTCATCAGCGGCTCTGCAACAGCAAAACAAAAAGCTCAGCCTGTTTGCTCCACTTGAGCTTGAATTAGCAGGGGAATCAGTGGAAAGTGATGCAGTGGACTGCTTTAGAATTACATCAGCCACGGTGGTGGAATCAGCGCTAAGATCTGTTTTCCATTAGTATTATAGTAGCAAGACCACCGTGTTAAAACACTCTGTTACTGCATTCACATTGCAGATGGACCACTCTGGAATTATTTGTATTTTATTGTTTATTTATTACAGCTGTAAAAAGTAAAACAAATGTATTTAACAATATACTGTATACATAGTGGGTAACTCGTGAATTTGAATTTTTAAAGTCTGACATTTCTTCATAATATTCAACCATAATGTTGTTGATTCTATTTTGTAGTATTAATTTTTTTCTAGAGCTAAGGAAATTAACTGTTGTTTTCTGATCTCTCTTTAAATACTACATTGTGAAAACTCACTTTTCCAGTGCTTGTGCACACACATTTGGGTACTGGATCATCCCACAACCCCAAAAACTGTAATATAAGACAATGTTGTCTTTTTTCTATGGGCTGCCGATCAGAAAACATTGGATTCAACAAGCCATTTACATTATCCCCCTTCCCATATTACATGAATGCTTATAATAATGTGCAAGTTCTTCTGCTTGTAAGCTATTAGAGAGATTACATTTACTTTTAAAACCTGTATACAACACCAAAGTCTCAATATAAGGTGGCTAGATGGGTCCTGTTTTCATTTTATCATAGGGAAAGGAATGTGCGAGCAACCTTTCTCTCCGTATTGGAATATGTTGATGTTATTTATAGAGATGCTCCTGTCCCCAGCCTTAAACATCTAGAAGCTGTCAATCACTCAGCGCTCAGATGTATTACAGTCGACCCACATGGCATCGGCATTGTGTTTTATATTAGGAGGTGGGTTGCCTCTCTATCAGGCAGCATCAGCACTTTTATCTATTCATCTATAAAGGACTTCAAAAATGACCACCTTATTTATTGTCGCTCCTGTGCCTGAGACAGTTACTGATTCTATGTGTTCCTGCAGCAAAAACTAACCTTGGAAACACAGCTTTGAGGTATTTTAGCCGATGTGTGTGGTGTGTTAAATAGGTTTGTGTGCATGCAAATGGTCTGCAAAGGCTAAAATCCTTGTGTTCCCTCCAGAGGGAATTTCTCTCCCACACACTCCCCCCTCAAAACGCCTCCATCTGACTCCTTTGCCTACTTTCTTAACATAGTGACATCAGTACATAACACTTGTACTTCTATTAGCTAGCGCTCCAACACATTGTACGTGCCAATCACAACAGAGCCACACAGCCAACCAATCAAAGCAGACTGGGCTCAAAATACATATATTAATTAATTGTAATAGGGTCTGAATTGTGTTGGAGTAAAAGTAGTAAATACTCCAGTAGAAAAATAGTGAGATGCTTTCCATGACTGATCGTCCATCCGTGACTCCAAAGTCTTCACCACTACAACACTAACAGGAATAACCTCAGTTCAAGTACATTGTTGCCAGCCCTCTGTATGGCGGTCCCACCTAATTTAAATGGACTCAATCCTGTTTCACGCTGGAGTCTCTCTTTGATTGCACATCCACTTAATCCTCGGGCTATTGTCAATAACGCAGCAGAGAGAGAGGTGCTTTCCAAGAAGAACCGCCACGCGAAAAGAAGCATCTCAATAAATTATTGCTATTTTGACTCAGGGCAGTAACACAAAGCATCCCATAGGAAAATAGGAGCATGTGAAATATTGTATGAAGCTGCATGTCAACTGCTGTCCAACAAAGAGCAAAATTATTGTAGAACCAGTCTGAGAGCTACTATTATTAGAGCGAAACACTAGAAATAGTTGGGGGTTGTTAAATATTTTAAATGACTGACATTGAATAATTGAATGCACATATTCTCAGATATATATATATATAATGACTCCCGGGGCATGTACTGCACTGTATAGCCAATTTTCCGATAGAGCACCTAACTTTATTTGAGTTTGTCTTATTGATTGCTCAATTTCTGTTGCTCAAACTTATAAAAGTGTCAGCAGAAATAAACCAGCTATACAGTCAGAAAGGTCTCAATTGATTCGCTGCAATAAATAACAATAAATGGAGCATCCTCTTCCCACCGCTGCGTACATCATTGACCTTTCCCTCTTCCACTCATTAAGCCACTGTGGTTAATGGTGGCATTTGAAACAATGCAACACCTTTGGTAATCAATCCACTCACCCATGCATTCTGAATATGTCCATTAATTATATTTATGTTGAGAGGAAAACTGCTGCACAGAAATCAACAGAGTCATTGTAATCTTTAATCACACATGCATTGAAATGCATTGGAAACCAGATGGCTGAGTGTGGTGAGACACATGTGTAATTCCTCCTGTGTTTGACTTTATTCAAATGTAATCAGACTTAAGGGGAAGGAGAAGGAGTACGGTCACTTTAACTAGATTACATGATATAAATATGTATATGTAATGTAGCAGTATGCATTAGAAGTTGGTTATCAGAGTCTCCAATATTTGAATGTATAAGGAGAGACTACGGGCACATTGGTAAAAAGAAAGGCAAATAACAATCCAACAAATATTTTTGGATTACAATGTTTCTTAATGTATTTTTTTTTGTATATACATCTTATTAAATATGCACTTGTTTTATACATCAGTTCCAGAACATTGGATAGTTCCAGGAAAATTTGAACATTTTTGGTTTATTCTGTAAAATAAATGTAGGATTGCTCTTTGTATTGCTCCGGGAAATAAGAAAATCAGCATGCTCAAATGTTGTTGAATAAATTAGGCTATGAAATACTGAATGTAGACAGCAATGAAACTGTAAGGCATGACATATGAAGTGGACATTTTTCTTTTAAGAAAACAGCTTTCAAAGTCATGTATTGCAACATTACCTATCTTTTGCATTTCATAGTCCATTGATTAGGTTTTTCAGATTTGCTTTTAAGATAAGATAAGATAAGATGGACCATTTACTTTGTTTTAAGATTTTTCAGGCCACAAGTGCCGTATAGACATGACAGAAAGTATAGTTCACCAGCTCTACCAAGTGAACTATACAGCGACCACTGAAATGTTAAATATGATCTAATGAGGAGGCGTGTGGTGCAGTGGATAGAGCTTTGGTGTTCGGATCAAGGGAGCACAGGTTCAAACCCCACTGCAGTCAGCATGTCGTTGTGTCCCTGAGACACTTCACCCCAAATTGCTCCTGTGGGGATTGTCCACAGTATTGAGTATGTAAGTCGCTTTGGATAAAAGCGTCTAACAAGTGACATGTAATGTTATGTAATGCCAACTTGTGTTGCATTAAGGATAAATAAACACAATACAATTGACAAAGTTAGTAAAATGAACATCTTAATTTGTATTTTGGATGTTTTCTTTCCAATCCAATAGAGCCCAAACTCTCACCAGTTCATTCAAAATAATGTTTTGGCCTGTAGTGTCCTGGCTCAACTCACATAGGGTAAACACAAATGTTTCGTATACATAAAACCAGATGGGGAGTCCAACTAACACAAGAGTGTTACTTTCAGAAAGGTTTTGATAAAACTGAACAGATTGTTGATTACTCTTGCCTGATAGCGAGCCAAATGTGTTTTTTATGAGGAGGAGGCTTTGCTGCAGAGGGTTGCCTCTGGTAAAATAACGACAGACCGGGTTCAATTCAAACAGCATGTACAACATTCAAGCACTGATCAATATCCTCTGGTGTGTTTGTCGCCTTTTTTGCATAATGAAGCAAATGAACAAAATGCCTGTTTATTTATCAGGTGCAAGCTGTGCCTCAGTGTCCAATCAATTTCCCAAACAACCTGGAGAAAGGATCCAATATTATAATCCAATATGATGGAGGAATATTGAATCATATTCTTGCACAGCTTTGTACAAGATGAACACGTTTGGAGCCACAATCGGCTCATCATTGTACACATAATGGGAATTCAGAGGGGGCTAGAATGAAAGTAGGATATACGGTGTTTATATAAAGAATCTTACTTTTTCATATTTGGTGGCACAGGATTAAGAACTGCACTTGGCCAAGAGAGATTTAACAGGAGATTAGAGAAGATCACTTACTGGGCCTGTTTCGTGTCTTATCGCCGCACATACACAGAGCAATTCCTTTGAAATAAATGGTGTCTTTCCAAAGCAAAACACTTAATGTATTGCCGCACAGGAGGCACCCAGTTGTAATGAAAAACACAATAATGCATGGTAATTAGTCGTGAACAAACAGCACAATAAAGCTTTGAAATTACAGTTAGTCAGGGTTGCTCACATTCTTCATTCAGCAGCAGCAGCAAAAAGCATCTCTCCCAAAGTGCCGGCGTAACCTTGGAAGAGGAACTCTTATCTCTGATCTAAAGACAGATCTCTTACCTCCACAGGCTCCAGGTTCTCTCCATTTTTCATCCACCTGTACGAAGGCTTTGGCTTCCCGGTGGCTTTACACTCCCACACCATGGCGTCATCGATGAGCTTCTGGACATCCTGGGGTTTCTCGATGAGATGAGGGGGAGCTGAAAATTGGAGAAATTGAGATTGTTTATGTACATATCTGAGTCACTTTGGATTATTAACATGTGCTCAGAGCAGTGAACATAGGGAGAGCGGTTTGTATTTATGTTTACCCTGGGCTTGTCTGTCATGTTGCAAACAGGCTGTGATTATTTTTGAACTTTTTGGGGCGGTATGCAGCCTTACAGTAGGACTTAGGGCACTACTCATCGATGCCTTATGTCTTAGAAATACATGAATGCTTTTAACTTGTACTTATTCTCAACATGCACCTTACATTTCCAGGTTCATATACGTATGTTGTGCCTCTACTGTGACATGTTTACATGCTTTAATGTTGAAAAAGGTCTTTATTTGTATCATACTCAGACCCTCTTTTCACCCTCTGTCTGAAACCAGAGCCCAGTCTGCTCTGATTGGTTAGCTGACCAGCTCTGTTGTGATTGGTCAACTGCTTAGGGAGGTCCCCATTATGCTTTTTGGGGTTTATACTTTCCTGTAGTCGGCCAGTTGACCAATCAGAGCAGACTGGGCTCTGGTTTGTGACAGAGGGTGAAAAGAGGTGCTGCAGCACAGGCAGTATGATAAAAATAAAGAGCTTTTTGAACATTAAAGCATGTAAACATGTCACAGTAGAGACATACAATACGTATATGAACCTGAAAACGACCATAGTATGTCCTCTTTAAGGTGTGATATCACCAAAGATCTCCTTTTAATGTTTACAGCGCAAAACAAAACCTAACTATATCCATATGGGTGGCTACTGCTGCCATTAAGATATCCTCCATTCAATACAGAGTAAATGATGGTATAATTATACAGGAGGACAATTGATTATTTGCTATGTCATGAGCTCAAGGCTAGTTAATGATTACGCAAAAAAAAGAACAGTGGTAAATAAACTAGATAAGTAAAGCTCCGTGTGTGATGCGCTGTACATTCAGGATGATGTGTAGGTCACACTACCATCACCTTATATCACACAAGGCCAGTGGCAGGACAAGAGTAATGGCTGACCGTATTTTTCCATTCCGCCCATCCCACCTAATGCCACTCTCAAGGACTGACCTTTGAGGAGGCTTCTCAGCAACAGTACAAATCCCGCTCTAATTGGCTTTTGCTATATAGTATATTGCCTTTGAGTATAGCAGGACAACACGGCAGGACATTCAATAACTGCAAATGCATCACGGCACTATGTCTGTGCGTTCAGCATGTGTAAACCACCATACAGTATTAGTGTGTGGTTGTGTGGTAAGCGAATACGGATACAATAAAAAAAGAGTAGGATGCAGAGACCAGCGGGGGGTATTTTGATCGGTAGTGTGTATTTATGTCCTGCACAGATTCAACATCAAAGTCTTTCCGGTATCAGAGATGTATTTGTATTGTTGTATTGATCATGTGCAGTATGCAGCCCTCTTAGATCCGTTCGGCAGCATGGGAATCGGCACACGGTTGGCCGGGGTCATTAGCATTTAGTGCTAACAGTAGAAAGGGTTACAGTTTCCTTTGACAGATAGCTGGAGCTTTGTTATTTTTCCTGCTACAGAGAAGCATCCTGGTTTCTTAGAAGTTATATTCTCACAACAATGCATTGTCAATCACATGTCATTGTTTGATTTCGGAGCTTCACAACAGCGTTTCTTGTCAAGGTCCACGGAGGTACATAGGGTTGGATGTATTGGTCACCAAGAAGCCCTTTTTTATTTTCTATTAGAAACCGCAGTCTATTGTGACAAATATTTTCAATTTAAGTGTGTAACTTCAATCACATAGAACATGGAATTCTGGACTTATCTTATGCCAAACCATTATCATTCACTGAATCTTTATTGCCAAAACGTGATAGATTTGTTGCTTTAACAACCTTATATTTTTGTTGTATTTTGTTCATTTAAAGGTGGGGTAGGTAAGTTTGAGAAACCCGCTCGAGATACACTTTTTGTTATATTCCATGGAATGCTCTTAACATCCCGATAGCAATGAATATCTTAAGTGCTTTGACAAAATATCCATAAAAAAATATCATCTGTGGAAGCCGTAGTACTGTAAAAAGTACGACCAATCATTTTAGCCGGCCCAGCTAAAATAACTGGATGGCCTACCTGCCTGTCAGCCTTCCATCTGTGCACAAACTTATCTCGTGCCCTCATTGGTCATGTGCGCGTTCGTCTGTGTTGGAGGAGGGGCTCTGTAGGGAAGTGGCAGATTTTTTCCGGCTGTGTATTTTCAAATGCTAGCGCACGTAATTGAGGATGGAGTTGAGTTGGATAAGAATCACATTTTTTAGGAGGGAGGGTTGAGAAAATAAACATGGGATGTAACATAAATGGCAGCTTTGTCTTTATTATGTTCTGGTCATCTAAATCCATAAGGGCTCGTGGGAAATATAACTAAACTATTTATATAATTTTTTTGGTATTTCACTATCCCCGGGCGCCGTACATAATGGCAGCCCACTGCTCCTAACACTAGGATGGGTAAAATGCAGAGAAACCGTTTCGTTACATAGTACCTGTACTACGTAATGACAATAAGTTGAATCTTCTTCTTCTTGTAAATAAAAACCCACTTATTATCATAGATGAGAATAAATACAAGGTGTGATCAATAAGATTCCTAGCAATAGACCAATAACAAATAATTGGTTAATATGTGAAAACTTCAGCAACTAAAATAAATCGCTTGTAAAAGGAATATTTGGAATAAAATAAATGAGTATGACAATTATAGAAACATGTCGAGTTTGACAAAGGTTGAGTTATAAAAAAGGCTACAATACGAATCAAGCCTTGGTTAAATGTGACACTTAATGTATGTTTGACAATTATGATCCGTCATCTGTTTATTCTATTCTATTTCCTTTTTTGGAAAATATATATAAATATATTTTGAATTTATAAATGTTTTTCTTCACTTTTCACTCTGCTTTGTTGAGTGTTTCTTTTAAATCTTGCATTATTTTATAATGCGTTTGTATCCTATGCACCTATATAACTTCATGAAATGCAAGGGAATGATTACATTTATTCCCATTGATATCCATTTAAAACCATTTTCAGCTTTCCTACTGGCCCTAGAAGTCTTTGAGGTATCTGAGTCTTGAAGAAGGGATGGTTCAAAGTCTCTCTATAAGACTCCTCCATCACAAGTCATTTAGCATCACATCCATTCATCCCAGCGCAATCCTCCATCAGAGTCTATCAGGGCCGCCCCACCCACTGCACCCTCGCTCCATTGTTGTCGTTTGTGGGTGTTTTCTCCCCGCTGACAGGGTCACTCACTCCATCCCTCACCCGCCGCGCACGTATCCACTCTCAGTCAACACCTACCAAATGAAAGCCGGCAGCCCATCTCTGCCTGCACACACACGCACGCACGCACGCACGCACGCACGCACGCACGCACGCACGCACGCACGCACGCACGCACGCACGCACGCACGCACGCACGCACGCACGCACCACCACCACACACACACACCACACACACACACACACACACACACACACACACACACACACACACACACACACACACACACACGCACAATCAGAAACATCAAGTGGGTAAAGCCCAAAGGAAAGATGGGAATGTTGCCCTATCAGTGGATAACTGAGATAATGCAGCGGAGCGTCTGCAGGGATGTGAATACAAACAGGGCAAACTGACCTGTCACCGCTTCACATTTACTTTCTTGCAGACGCCTATTTCTTCACTATTTCTTCTTTTAGAGACACATTTTCTTTAAATAAAACTCCATGATTATGAAGAGAGACTGTGTGTAACAATACCCCAAACCAAAGAGAAATTATTCTGCAGATTTAAGACAGGACAAGTCATCATATATATCGCCACTTCATTTCTAACTGAAAAATCGGTACCACTTTACAATAAGACTACCCTTATAAAGGATTCATAAAGGGTTTATAATTAGGTTATTAATTAGGTTGTAAACACTTTATTAATCATTAAGAGCCATTTATAAACCAGTTCTAACATAGTTTTCATCAACACAGGCTCACTATTTGGCAAGATGACTAAGCCTTATATTGGCTACTTAGCGAGAATCAACTCAGTGAGCAACAGATACCAAGGATGCTGGCTGATGAAGAAGACAAAGTAAGCTTAGTAGCCAATATAAAGCCTCGGACACACCAAGCCGATTTTGGCCGTCGATGGATGTCAGGCCGACGATGAGCGTCCTGTCGCCCTACTCAGATTGGTGTTTCCCGCACCGTTGTGTCTTTTCGGCCGTGCCGACACCTTTTTGGCCGAAAACCTACCGATTCAACATGTAGAATCGGTAGGCAATCGGCCAAAGGCTGTCGGTCAAATAAATCACTCTGATTGGCTGTTCAGCTAGCGAATCAGTGCATGAGAAGCGAAACGGAAGTGAGGGACCCAAACAAACTATTAAGAAGGCAAATCTGAGATGTAATTTAACTCCAGCTCTCGACACAGGTTCAGGAAAGCCCCATGAGCTTCTCTCTGTAGAGTAAACTCTATTTGTTGTTTGTTTGTATCACGCAGTCTGTTCTTCTTCTCTCGGTGTATCACGCAGTCTGTCTTCCGGTTGTTGCCTCTTTTGAATGACGAATACACACTACCGCCGCCTGCTGGTAAGGAGAGTTATTGCCACTGACGCATGTGCAGTTCGTACGTGCTACTTGGCCGTCGGCTGAAGTCTTTGCGGTGTGTTCCAGTGCGACACATGGCCAAGACGCAGAGACGCGAGGCGACACAACAGTCGGGTCTGTCGGGACGTGTTCTTTGGTGTCAGCTTGGTGTGTCCCTACCTTTAGGCTTAGCAGTACAGATAAATGTGGGCTCACTATTTGGCAAGCAACCGGTCACAGTTACCCTGTTCATCTCATGTCTTATAAAAGCTTATTAATGATTTATAAAGTGTTCACAACCGAATTAATAAATGAATTACAAACGTTTCGTAAACCCTCTATAAGGGTAGTCTTATTGTAAAGTGGTACCGAAAAATCCAACCATCATTAAAAAAAAATGCTATTAAAAAAATTAAATATGTTTAAATTAGGTTATTTTATTAACATTACATTACATTACATTACATGTCACTTGTTAGACGCTTTTATCCAAAGCGACTTACATACTCAATACTGTGGACAATCTCCACAGGAGCAATTTGGAGTGAAGTGTCTTGCCCAGGGACACAACGACATGCTGACTGCAGTGGGGTTTGAACCTGTGCTCCCCTGATCCGAACACCTACGCCCACTGTGCCACACGCCACACGCCTCCGTCTCATTAACTTCATGAGTTCAAGATGCTGCCATATTTGAGTAAACGGTGCAACTTATTGACCTTATTACAATACACAGGAAACAGGAAACAAGGTTAATATTGTAAAAAAAATAAGTTACCAACTAAAACTATCACTTCATTTTATTTTATATACTTATCTACAAGAGGTCTTGATAGTTGAGTAAGCGTCTAAATTTAGCAAATTATATATATATTTTTTATATTTTGATCGTATTTAAAAAAACTCTTTAATATTTTACACAGGAAACATAAAACAAGGTAAACAAAAATAAATAAATACATACATAAAAGCTAAGAGATAAATATATAAATAAATACAAAACAAAAATGGCTAATTTTAGATATAAAAATGTGTTTCCTGTGTATTGTAATACGGTTAATAAGTGGCACTGTTATAAATAAAAATGTATCAATACATATTTAAAATATGAAGATTAAGATGTTAGATATATCATTTAGTTTATAAAATAAAATACTATAATATAGAGGATATTGTTTTTTTGATGGTTGGATTTTTTATATCTTAAGTGGCAGTGAACATCCATTTGATTTATAACCTTACATTTTAATATGCAGCTTCTTCATTTCCAGGACAATCTCAAGAGGCTTGCTGCTCTGGGACACATTATGAGAGTGAGGATGCTTCAGAGTGACCAAAGTGCCTCCGTGGAGCAACACCTTCATCTCTTCCTGTCTCACAAAGCCTCACCATATTTGCTCCGATGCACAACAGATACCCCTTATCGATCCCCCATTGGCTTACACTGCTGACGAATGTCTCCAAGGCTTAATTCAAAGGGAGTTCAAAATAAGATTACTGATTTTTATCACCTGGCTGCAGCCGGCAGCAGGAGGCAGACAGAGAGATAGAGGAGGGAGAGACTCAAAACACATCATAAATTGAGCGAGGGGCCGCGGCACAAAGGGACAAATGAAGCCTTAGTGCTTCACAGCGTGCTCTGCTTTCAGGCTGCTGTAAATCATCACAAATTGTCTAATGCGCCAAATGAGTTATTTATTTTGACGGCTTTACACAGCAGGACTTGAAGGAGAGAAGGAAGAAATCAGAGAGTGGTTCAGGTGGGGGTGAGGGTGGGAGGAAAATCCATAGATGGTATAAAGAGTAACAGATGAGTCCTGGTTAAAATATTAGGAATATATAAATGTAGTGGCTCTGCTTTATCCGTGTATTCATGACCATGACACTGGTGATTGTGGGAAGATGCCAGGCTAAGCTAACAGCTAAAGAACAGTAGCTACATGGAAGATTGCAAACATTGAATACTTATAAAGATGAAATGGGACTCAATACAAGTTTCCATGTTTAGTGTTATTAACAATATGAATCTTATGCTTAACTACTTTTTATCTCGAAAAATAATATCAAGTCTTGGTACCAGTTTTATAAGACGTACCATTTGTTTGGGTTAGGTTTGCCAAACATTTTCGACCTGTGACCCCTTACAGGGAATAACATTGTTCCATTATTATTATTATATTTTCTTATTAATTTAAAGAAAAATAAGGAAATAATAATAATAATATTTTTTTCAACTTGTTTTCTTTTTCCTATGTATTCCATTATTTCGTTTTTAATGGGAATCCATTTCCCTGGACTAAATATATTAGGAAATATTTGAAACCTATATATTTGGCTGAATTTTATTTTTTCCGATGGGACATTTTCCGTTTTTAGAGTTTATTGGCAGTAGATATTACCACTTCTACAATGTAAACCCAACAGGTGTAAATACGGGTCTATCAGCAACAAAGATGAAACGTCCCAACCCACTTCCTGGTTATCCAGATGCTTCTGCACAGATTATGTCCCTGACATATGTGCCACTGGCTGGCGTATAGTGCATTTAACGGCTTTGATCTCCAGTCAAGTTGGATGTCAATCATGATGCCATCTGGTGGAACCCAATACAAGGCTCACCAACAAGGTCGTATCCAAGGGCTGAGCCTCATCCGCACCTTTAATCTGGATCAAAATATTAAAGGCATCATGGCTGACAGCCTTTAATCATTTTGATGTGCCGTTAAAACGAGCCTCCCTCTTTGTGAACGCTTTGTTTTATAAGGCGGGTAGTGTGGGCTGCTGCTGGCTTTTAGTGTGAGCCGCTCTGACAGATGTGGCGCACGCTGGTCAAATATGCATGGATGTCAGGATCACCTACCATAGAAAGAGAGCTTCCCTTTCACTGTGTTCATCCCCCTGGAGTTCTCCGCCACGCACTCGTACGTGCCCGCGTCCTCCTGCTGGAAATACGGGATCTCCAGGATGCCGCTGGCTTTCCTCATGTCCACTTTCCTGGGGAAGGGGACACCGTCCACTCTTTTCCAGGTGATAGACGGTACCGGGCTGTGTGAAGAGACATGGAGACGTTAAACTGACTCAGATTTTGTGAATGAGTCCTTCTTAAAGGTGGACACATTTTTAAACAAGTGCAGATCCTCAAGATCAAGAGACCTGAATAATCCGGTTTGAAAAGATAAATAGATATTGGTTTGATAAATCATGTGAAGACGATAATGCACCTAACAAAAGACATCCCCATTTTTTATTTATATTTTTATGCTATATAAAAGTGATGAAATAATTGTAAAAAGAGCTGATTATGAGAAACCAACTAAAGAAATATGTATCACATACCCTCAAATTTAGACATATGATCAACTTTAAAAATGCACAATGAATGCAAAAGAAAGGTGTCTAATAGTGAAAATAGTTCATATTTATTAGTTAAATTATGAGACACTCAAAAATTCCAGAACATGTAAAACAAAAAAACAAAATTAAGCTATTATATGTTGTTTGTATGAAGTGCACGTTACTTTACCACAGAAAATATACAACAACAATTCAAAATGCAGTTCATAAACCCCAAATATTTGTAATCAAAATGTGTCAAATTGTTTGATTGCCAACATTCCTGAACTTATTACAGCAAGAAAGAAAATGCCATTATCTTTACATACAAACTAATAAGAACTCAAAGCACTGTTTGGATTTCTCACATGTCCCTTAATTTGCTATATTTAGGGGGTTTATGGATTTACTTTGGTCTTTAAGGATCAAAGTAATACTATTACACCATAAATGTACTTTATACTCGGCAGCTTCAACATATTGTTTATACCTTAAGTTTAGGGCTTACTGCAGGTGTTCATAATTCTACGCTTCAGAACATCGTTTTCCAAAACCTGAAGATTTCTCTGAATATTTGTACACACCAACATGTGCTTTCCAATAGATGCACAGCCTTACTTGAAACACACGAGGGTTGCACCAACGCAGTGAAACACATGAAATAAATATCTCATGGTAATATTTTTGCTTTGGGTGAGCATGCTGAGTCTGAATAAGAGTGGGCTTACTTTCCCAGAGCGAAGCACTCCAGCCTTACAGTGGATCCTTTGGCAACATGAACAAGCTCTGGAAACTGAACCTCAATCTTTGGCTCGTATTCACCCATCACACCTGAAAGAGAAATGCAAATGAGTGTCAGTGTTAATGCAAAAAGTTGTATTTTGTATTTGTAACTCGTGCTAAACAAAAAAATGAAACATCTAAATAAAAACAGTAGCTGTGGCTTCTGCTACTGAAAACCTTTTCAAGTAAAGCTGTCTTTTCAAAAGAAATGCTTTTTCAACTTCCAACACAATCTGAGCAGCAGCAACAATCTCAGCGCTGTCACAGTATGCTCTCCCGTTGAAAGTAATGAGAAAAAGAACTCGAAACACAGCTCTCCAGTGGACATGCAACACGCTGATGTTGAATGGAAAAAACAACTTTGAGAATTCATAGACGGTTTTGAGCCCTTACATCCAGATGAGTTTCATCTTGTTGTAGTGCTAACAGCTATGAACACAAAAACAGGCCCATCAAATCCACCTGGGGACCGCCTCTGTGTCTACAAAGCTTCTCATTCTCTGTCAGGGGAAGGCAGCTCTGGTGGATTATAATATTGTTGTTGTGCATACTAAAAAAAAAAAAAACTCTGGATAAAGGAGAAGACTGGAATGTGTCGCTGTGGTATTCATGAATCACCACAGTAGTGTTGATAATCATTGGAAAAGCAAACACGTATTTTTGTGTGCTGGAAACCTTAACGCTTAAAAGTTTCACCCCAATTTCCACCATTAATTTCATCACAGATTATTATTTTAGATTGCATGGCAGTGAATAGGCAAAGAAAGGGAAGGAAATAGCACAAGCCACATGTGTTGCACTGACTTGAGTAAAAGCTATAACTACCTCAGTGTAACGGCAATCTGATCTATACAAAAAGGCAATGGCATTCGCTTTATGTGTGCTGAAATCGGAGGAAAGGCATTTTGCTGAAGGATGTGCTAGCCAGTTTCTCAAAGTCGCACAGGACTGGGTTATAGCGGACAAGGTCAGCACTGTAAGAACAGATAGTGCTCGCAATATGATAGCAGCAGAGAGAATACTAGCACACATTATACAGAGGGGGATCGTACGAATTCCACCAAACGATGATACTGTATGTGTTGCAAACATCCAGAGGTGGGAAGTAGTCGAGTACAAATACTTCGTTACTGTGATTAAGTACATTTTTCTGGTATCAGTACTCCACTACTTATTTATCTGACGACTTTTTGCTTTTACTTCTTACATTTTCCAAACAGGCTGGTTCCTTTAGTTTGAATGTGTGTTTGGTGGCGTGATCATTATTATTTAGAGTCATTGCGTGCCTATTGATTTGAACACGATCCGTGTATCCATCATTTCCTGGTCTTCTCTAAAGAAGAGGGACCAATGAAAACGTTGTCATGTTGCCGTTGTTCAGCATGGAAACATTCATTAGCTAACAATGACATTATTGTTCTATTAATATAAAGGGAGGTCAGGTACTCTTTAAAACAGCTGCTAGTTATGGGTACTTTTTACTTAAGTACATTTCAAAGCCCATACTTCTTTACTTTTACTTGAGTAAAGAAGTTTAGTCAGTACTTCTACTTTTACCAGAGTATTTTTAAACATGAGTATCTGTACTTCTACTTGAGTAAAGGATGTGTGTAGTTTTGCCATCTCTGCAAACATTATACATAGGGGAATCCCAGTATGAAGACCATATGTACATATGTGTAGCAAACTTTAAACATATGGGAATCGCAGTATGAATACTACCATACGAGTATATGCCATGTGTAGCACATATTATACAGAGTGTCCGAAAACTGTCCGATTTCATGCAAATAATTAACATGTTATTATGAAGTAAAAAACCCTCAGATCTTTCTCACCAGTTCATCCTGGATTTCTTTATCGAGCTACCACCCATGTATATGTTTTGATCTCCCCCAAACTTCATACTAGTATTTTAAACGTGTGTGCAATCATAATTTTATCGATATATATATATTGTGATCAGCGCAACACATATATTTGAATTGACCGATTGACACCATTACTATGATTGTCTTTCTCTTCAATGACACTGAGGTAAATTATACCAATGAATAAGTTATGGTTGGCATTTAGTGCTGCACGAATGATCGAAATGTGGTCAAAATTGCAAAATGAACAAGTGCAATATCTAAATCGCAGTAAGAGCAATATTCTGTTTTAAGTTTTGCAGACAAACTGTATTCTGCAGACTAAATAAAACATCCTTGTTCGGTAGAGATCCTCCAAATCACAACATGATCACTTAAATATATTTTTCAATGATAATGTGAATACCGTTCCCTCTAATATTGCAAATTATATCTCAATAGAGCAGCCCTATTGTAATTTCATCTCTCCTAGCTGGCTGCATACAACATGCTATTTTGAACCACTCTCATCCACCGGTGTAACAATAGTTTTCGCCCCATTGCTGTAATTCAGGGCTGTGTTGCACAAATAGCTCTAGAGATGGAGGAAACAGGCCAATTTCATCTCGTTGATTTGGCGAGGCATGTGTTATCAGGACGGATCCCTGAGTGACTGTGAAAGCTAATTCAGATCCTTATCACAACTGTCTCATACTGGAATGTAACCACAGCACTATCGCCCATTTTAAGCAGACAGGTGGAAGTGGACGGGTAATTGTCTCATACTATAACCTTTTGTAGGGGACACCTGTTTAATGGCCACCTCAACACCCATGACCGCGGTGAAGCTCGTGTTCTGCTTCCCTTGGAGAAGTAAACGTATAATGAAAAAGGAAAGAAGGAAGCAGATAAGGAAGCTTGAGAAAACGATCTCTATAATCACGCAGGCTATTTGCAATGCCGTCTGTCATGCAACGGAAATGTTTCTCCACAATCCTTCTTAATTTAAATGATTTTGAAATGATAAAATTATGTTTTCAAGCAAGCCGTTTTGTTACATATTATGGAAAATGCATCATTCCAGTGATTTTACTCATAAATGTGGGAATCTGAGTGCCTACAAACCTATTCAAATGTTTAAATATGACGACCCATTCACTTTCTTTCAGGCTGCCTAGAATCTATGTCACATGCATTGAATATGATTTGTCACCATCAAATAGGAGATGCAGGGTCCCATGACCGAATAAGGTTAGACTAAAGCACTCTTTCGTGCACAAGTAAGTCTTACAAATTATATACAATGTTTATTCCCAGATTGAAAATATGTAAGTATGTTTCGTAAATGTCTATTTCATTGTTTCTTAAATGTTTTTCAATGTTGATGTTGCAAATGGACATACTGTGATGCAAGGAAATTGTGCCAAAGAAGAAACTTAATGAGTAACCTTGTAGGTGCCAACCTGAAAATAGTCATAATATGTCCTCTTTTAACAAGAGTTGTAATCAAATGAATATTAGGGTTACCTAGACACAATGTTTGCCTTATGTCATATTTTTTGGCTATGTTTTGATGATTTGAGGATCAGCAAAACCAGCTTCTTGAATAAATGGAAGACGAAAACCATACAAGACATTTCTAATGAACATAACATTTAGCTGCATATTTATTTTGCTGCATTACATTAGATATGCAGCATCTCTCTAGGACAGAAGCCTACAATTAGATTACTTGCTGACAGTGACCTTTCCTCCAGAGTGCCTTGATAAGGCCAGCCTAAAGCATCACATCCACATGTTAAAGGACATGCTGAAATTAGCAGAGAAAGAGATAATTAACCTTTGGATTTCATGTGTATTCATTAAAACCACTCTACCATCAGGTACAGAGAAAGCCTTTTTTTATATTCTTTTAAACTGGACCAAACTGCTCCCACTTATGCATTACACACTTTGTATCCCATCAGTAGCTAGTGTAGATTATCTTAAGGGTTTTTAAATGATGCTCTTAAAAAAAGTGGTTTGAATATGGACTTGTTCACAATGCGGAGCTTCATTCAGTTCACCTTTTTTTTTTGGCTCAACCAAGACCATTTCTTACAACAGCTAAGGAATGCTCCAATAGATTCAAGTGCTGTGACGAAAAATGGAAACTGTCATGTTCGAAGTTTAGCAATTTCGACGTAAAAGTGTGGTGCACTGATGTCGTACTTTTGTAGACCGACCGAGTAATATTGGATAATAATATTTACTATACTTTCATGTTTTGTTCTGCAAGATAATCTTCCCATATTAACAACACTTGTATACGTGTTTTTGTACTTTTTTACGTAATACTATAAACAAACTACATGGTCGCACAGATCATCACCGCTAAGCCAAAGGCGGACTCAATGTGATAAAGTTTAGTAGTCTCAGTCATAGGAGCTTCAGAAATTCAGTCATTACTGCAGTATTTCATGTCTTAGAACAAAAAGTGAAAATATCGTAAACTTGTTTTAACCAAAGATCTGTTTTCAGGCATCTGACAAAACATTTTTGGAAGGCTGAAACCTGAAACTCCAGCCTTAGACATCAAAAACAGATGTAATGTGAACTTAACATCCACATTGGAAAAGGGGTAATCATGTGGAAAAGCATGGATTTGATTAGACCAACTTGATACAATTAGGAGGCGACATTTGCATTTAAATAAACATACCAATGAAAGGCTACTGTAATAAGCAGATTACGAGAAACAGTGTGATATCCAGTGCAGTTCCTGGAACAAATTCCAAGGCCAACAATTGTTTTAGCTGTAGTTAAAGTTTTAATTGGTTAGTTTGCATGTTAAAAAGCATGGCTCACCATCGCTGCGGAGCACTAGAGGAGTGGGCGGACCCTCCACTCTGGACTTTGTGACGGTGTTAGTCACCACACAGGTGTAGTTTCCAACATCCGAGGGCTCCACTTTGGCGATGTACAGATTACCCGTCTCCTGGGAGATGAAGCGCCGAGTGTCCTGCATCACAAATGTCGGGTACTCGTTAAAGATCCAGGAAAACACGAGATCTGTGGATAAAGAACACAAGAGAATTCTTACTTTAAATGAGACTTGAATACGGTTTTGTAACAGGGTTTTGGACCTCCTGAGGGTAGTGAAATCACGCTAAGGTGAAAATTGATGACAGGATCAGTCAGAGGTTGCGAACAAATGCAATTATCTGGAGTCTTTTGAGATGGCCATTTTTCACGCGGATGAGGTCTGAATACTCAACTAGGGATTTGGAAGACACTAGGGTGAGTTGCTATGAGTAATTATACATGCGTAGACAAGCAACAGAGATGTTTACTAATGACAACCACAAGGACAAAAATACATGTTAACCATTTACAGTAAGGTACATGACATCTTGAGTTGCTAATGAACTGAACAAATCGTTGCGCACATTGGATATTAAAGCAAATATACCCATTTCTGTGTTTCCTTCATTAACATCATTGTGCTAACCAACTGACAAACAACACCATTTATAAAAAAGACAATTAAAGACATTTGACAGGAGAAATGGGATACAACATAGGCAAAGGTGCAAACAATCGATCAGTTGATACATACATTACAAAGACATGTAATTTAATATTTACACATCATATTATTATCGTAGAACTAGTTAAAACAGCCATGCTATATGCTAGCAACACTGTAATGATTTAGGAAACTGCTGAGCTATAGATAGGTAAGTCCATCATTCACAGATGACATGATGTCAAAGTTTGACAGGAATGGTACGGGCGAGCCGTTGCGATGACACTTAGGGTCAAAATGTTCTGGAATAAGGTGAGAACCATCCTTTTCTCAAATCACATTTCACCCATCGAGGAACCAGTTGAAGGGGAGAATTATCACTAACAGGAAGTAGAGCATCATGTTGGAAAAATACTGTCAGACTGCTAAAATCAATAAAACATTGTTGGAGTTTAAATGTCAACCGTTCCCCCATGTCATATCATTGTGTTTGAGTATTTCAAAAATGAGTCAAACACACATTTTGACGTCTTGAGATCCTCTTACAAAATACATTTTCTTGAAAACCACTACATCATTGTCACAGTCACTGACAGAAATATTATAATTCATCCACAGACATCATCTCCACCATAATCTCACAGAGATATAAGGAATGTGATGATGCAGAAATAATTGCACTATACGACCGAACAAACTTAATTTCACAACCTTGTGTCCTGTAATTTAAAATGTAACATTGTTTGAAATTGCTAATGCATTTTGTGCTCCACATGTAAAGTAAGGGAAATACAGAATGTCTGTCACGTAATATTTTTCATAATTCATGCCTCCATTTATCTTTCAGTAGCTGTGTTGAATTAATTGGATTCAGTATGTCAGCAACCTCTACTTCTTGATAAATTACATTATTGAAGTTTAACCAGCCTAACCCTAACCCTAACCCTAACCCTAACCCTAACCAAAGGGTCTGAAAAAGTGAAGCTGTAGCAGAATTGCCTTAAACTTGCATCCTCTGTAATAGCCAGCATGGTGCATCCTCACTTGTTGCTAAATGAGTCAGATTGTACAGAAGTATATGAGAAGATGACCAAACCTTACATTTTACTGACAATTGTATGGTCTAATCGCTAGTGTCAAGGCTTCTTAAATAAAGCATGATGTTACATGACATTACATTTAATTTAGCTAAAATGTTCTTTCCAAGCGACTTACTGTACAATAAGTGCCATCAACCATGAAGATAGAAACTCAAAACATCAAGAAACCTGCAAGCCAAACACTTATAAGTGTTTTTTTTTCTTTTGTGCCAAAGAGCAGTCTTTCTGCAATGTGGAGCTTATTTTACCATTTTGGAGCCAGGATGGAAAAGAGGCGTGTTTGTTTAAGGTAAGTAGGGAATGCTAGATGGTAGGGATACCTTGGGTTTGACAAGTCACTCTTCTGGTTAAAAACCAACAACACAGCAACTGCTTGAATGACAAACTTAAGTCCAATAGCCCTCAAACTAATAGGTGACATCACATGAACTACATTTGCTTCTTTATACAGTCCACAAAGTCAACTAAACGTTGTGAACTAATCTTCTACTTTGCAATTAGTAGAATTGACAGGCATACATTATATTCCTGCTGAGCTTAAAACATGCCTTTCGTTTAGGGGACTAGAAATTAAACAAAACAGTATTGGAGGATGCCCTCGTCTCCCATAGCTACTGGGCCATTTATCTCAGCATGAACCTCTCCTCATGCTGGCTGAAGGGAGCAGGTAGTGACTCTACGAGAGGCAGTGGAGGCGGCTGATCAGCATCATTTGTGGCTTGGGTTTAGGATTTGGCCGCTGAGCTGAACACAGAACGATGGCACAGCAGAGGTCCACGGGGACAAGGGACACTTCAAGGCAGGATAAGGCATGTTGTTTGTGTTTGTTTCCTCTCCAGTGCTTTTGGACTATGACTGCACCTGCTCTCGTTCTATGTTTAAAACCCATCGACAACATGGCACGACATGTGCTGCAGAATGCCGCAGAGAGCGAAGACATAATGAGATGTCCCTCACAGCTGGCCAACCTTCTTCACATAATCATCCAGGGCATTGATTTTATGGGTTACACAATGCTCCCTGGCATAAAAACAGGACATCTCCGAGACAAAGTGTAAAATAAATCCAGCTGCCCTGGGAAACAGTATTAGAATCACTGCCATGGCAACAGGAAATCTGCCTTATTTCTTTGTAAGATATCCGATCTAGCACATGAGCTTAATTGAAATGAACAATTTTTGTTTTTTTAAAGTTACGGTGGCTGACAGGGGCAAATGCGCTACAATGGCCCAAAACACTTACATTAACCTCGCTGCGGTTCAAAAAAACGATACAAATATAAATACACAATATAAATATGTTAATGTAAAAAGACAAATGTGTCATGCAAATGAAGAACATCTTCACCAGCTTGACAACACACACATGCACAGCATATAGAAATCTTTCCAAAAACGTAACGAAACAAGCGCAGTGATTACTAAAAGCGCTGCATAAACAAAACGCTGCAAGAATCTCAAAACAGAACAAAAACGGGGACTCTAAAATGTGACGCACACAGCTTGGACCGCTGTGCTTGTTGACGTTCGGGATAATAAAGTTGGCCAACTATCACTGGAAATGTACCTAAATGTTAAGTTGTATTATGCTTAATTGCATGATTCCTCCTGATATTATTGCAAAGCTAGCAAACGTAGCTAACCTTTCAAATATACTGACAAAACACTAACAAATATAAAAGAGACTAACCCTGCGAGAGGGACATTTGGCCAACTTTATAATCCCGAACTTCAACAAGCGCTCCGGTCTCAGCTGTGTGCATCACTTTGTAGCATCCCCATTTCTATTGTGTGTTGAGCCTCTTGCTTTTGTGTTTGCAGCACTTTTAATAAACCCTGCACATGCTTTGTCAAGTTGGTGAATGTGTTCTAAATGCTGTGCATGTGTTGTCAAGTTGGAGAAGATGTTTCTTCATTTGCATGTGTTTTGGCATATTTTTGTTTTAATATTTGCATCGTTTTTGAAAGTGCATCGCATCTCTCCTACAGTAATGTAGCCTATGTGTGTTGGGCTGTTGTAGCACGTTTGCACCTGTCGGCCACCATATCAACTAGTGTTGCAAAAGGTCTTTCCACGTCTAACAATATACAATGATCTTTCACCTAATGTTAAACACAACTCTAAAGTCTATGGCTACTTTTGGTCCATGAAAAATGTTATTTTCAGAATGAGAAATATTGTAGGGAGGTTTGTCCCTGAAGAGTTCTTTGTGGTTTCCCCTCTAGGTGAAAGATCCCTTTGCATAAGTCACGATGAATAAAGCTGCTTCACTCACAAAAGGAGTCGTAGGAGCAGCTTCAAAGGACAGGCCTCACTGAATATTCAAAGACTGAACAAGTCGTGCAAGTCAAACATGGACGTTTATTACACAGTTAAGATCACGCCCAGACTGATTTGTGATACTGTAAAGATGGATGACGACGGCAAAGACGGTGGGCAGGAATCCCAAAGAGTCTATTATCATTTATGACCAGAGATGGAACAAAAAGCTGTGGATGGACACACATACAGTTATGAGTGTATTCTGTCTGATCAAATGTTACTAGGGTTTTTAGGACGTCATTTCATGTTTTTTTTTAAATGCAGTATCAGTATAAATATACAAAACTAACAAAAAGTTCAATTGCCCTTAGTCTTGTTATGTGGTGTTGCACTTCTGTTAAGTTTCACATCTGCGAAGAATGAAAAAGGTGGTCAAACTCGATATAGGAAAGGCAGAAATATCCTGACTTTCTTAAATATGGGTTTCCTTCAAATGCCAGGTCCTACATTTCCCATAATGCATCTTATGGTACACTCAAATGTCCAATTGGTAAATCTGCAGAATTTGTACCAAAGAGACTCGCAGTGACCTTGAACTTTTACCAGCTATTCCTAATAATGTCATCCTTAAATCCAAATGAATGTTTGAAAAACATTCCTGAAATATCTTGTGTATGAGAAGGAGACAGACAGACAGACAGAGAAAACATGAAAACACATTGCCTCTGGCCACAGCTGTCGCTCAGGCATAAAAATATCTCCAATCCCAAGCCGAGTTAACCCTGATGACATCATCTGGGCTATGTTTTTAGACTTTGAAAAGCTCCTTCAGAGCCACAGAGGACATAATATAACTGTTTTTACAAGGTGAGTGCATCATCTAATCAAATGAGTCCATTACCTCACTGTTGTCAAATAAATCCAACCAATAAATAAGACCTCGTCATCCAATAAAGACGTCCATTAGAGATTGGAGGATGCCACTCAAAGCTACACTTCAGATGCACATTTCAGTCTAAATTGTTGTAGATGTTTCTCCAGCTTTGTAAATATGGCATCATCAGAGTTAACGTTAAAAAGATGAGCATGCCATCATCTGCTGACAGCTGATTTAGGGTAGATAAACAAAACGCAACGGAACAAAGTCACTGTAAAGTGGAGCAATTGCACTCAATGATTGC